ACTTACACGCCCATCAACGGTAGACCTGATAAAGAGAACGTAGTACATATGCATCGTGAAATACTGCTTAGCCATAGTAAACAATGAGATCATGTCATTTGCAGCAACATAGATGGAGCTGGAAGCCATTATCCTAAGCAAACTAACACAGGAACAGAAAACCAAATACCGAATGTACTTACAAGTGGGAACTAAACACTGAATACATATGGATACGAAGAAAGGAACAACAGACACTGGAGCCTAGTTGAGAGTAGATGGTGGAAGGAAGGTGAGAATGGAAAAACTACCTATCGGGTACTATGCTGATTACCTGGGTGATGAAATAATCTGTAAACCAAACCCTTGTGACATGAAATTTACCTATATAACAAACTTGTACATGTGCCTCTGAGCATAAAATAAAATTAATAATAAAATAAAAATAAAAATAAAAGTGAATGGTCTCAATATACCAACTAAAAAAAAAAAAAGATTGTCAAAGTGGATAAAAAACAAAACAAGGCTGAGCACGATGTTTCACGCCCCTAATCACAGCACTTTGGGAGGCCGAGGCGGGCAGATCACGGGGTCAGGAGCTTGAGACCAGCCTGGCCAACATGGTGAAACTCATCTCTACCAAAAGTACAAAAATTAGCTGGGTGTGGTGGCATGCACCTGTAATCCCAGCTACTCAGGAGGCTGAGGCAGGAGAATCGCTTGAACCCTGGAGGCAGAGGTTCCAGTGAGCTGAGACTGCACCACTGCACTTCAGCCTGAGTGACAGAGTGAGACTCTGTTTTAAAAATAAACAAAAAAGACACGACTGCATGTTTTCTACAAGAAATCCATTTCAAATGTAAAGACTTAGACATGTTAAAACCTTTCAACGACTTTTCATTTAGAATAATACTCTACATTACTTATTAAGAGCTACAAGTCTTGTTGTCTGGCCTGTGCTATCTTTATGACTTCATTTCTTGTAACTCGTGCCTTTTATTATTCTGCTCCAAAATGGAATTTTCTAGGTGTACTTCCATTTTCTCACCTTTCCATGTGCTGTTCCCTTCACTTGAAATGCTCTTTCCTCAGATGTCGCCAGGGCTTGTTGCCATCTCTGCCTTCAGGTCATTAATCAAATGCTACTTTTTCAGAATACCTTTTATAATCCTTTGTTTAAAATCTTAACTGCCTCTGCCACATATATCCTTACCCTGCTTCATTTCTCCATAGCTATAACCTATTTGATGTTCTTACATTGTATTTTTTTGTTTATAAATGTCTTTATTCACTAAAATCAAAATCAGTGAAAAAGGTACATATGTCTCTTCAGAAACATATAATTTTTTCTAATGCTATATATATTTACTAAAGTACCTGTACTACATGTAAAGCTAATTAGTCTAATACCCAGAATCTACAAGGTACTCAATCAAATCAGCAAGAAAAAAACAAACAATTTCATCAACAAGTGGACTAAGGACATGAACAGGCAATTCTCAAAAGAAAATATACGAAGGGTGAACAAACTTATGAAAAAATGCTCCGGGTGGTGGGGAGTTTGGGAGAGATAGCATGGGGAGAAATGCCAGATATAGATGAAGGGGAGGAAGGCAGCAAATCTCGCTGCCATGTGTGTACCTACGCAACAATCTTGCATGTTCTTCACATGTACCCCAAAACCGAAAATGCAATAAAAATAAATAATGTAAAACTACAAAAGATTTTAGTTTCTCCCTTGTAAAGTATGCAAAACATTTTCTGCCTCTCATACAAAGTGTCCTAAAGTGTCCTCTTTCTACCCAATGAATCTAGTATTCTGAGTCACAATTTTATACTACAATCAAAAAAAAAAAAAAGAAAAAATGCTCAACATCACTAATGATCAGGTAAATGCAAATCAAAACCATACACAAAAAATAAATAATGCTGTATATATATATATTTTATTATATAAATAATAAAATACATATAATTTTTTCTAATGTTATATCCCTAGGGCTTAGAATAGTGCTTGTCAGGAGAGTTGGTCTCAATAAATGTGCACTGCATGTTTGAAGGAAAAATTGATACATCGTTAAATGCTGTTTCCTTAGTACCTAGAATAATACCTAGAAGAATGGGAGCTAAAAGAAAAAAAAAACTTGTTGAATGAGTGGAAATAACACTTTATTTTTGGGGATGGAGTTTCACCCTTGTTGCCCACTGCAACTGGAGTGCAATGGCAATATCTTGGCTCACTGAAACCTCTGTCTCCTGGGTTTAAGCTATTCTCCCGCCTCAGCCTCCCAAGTAGCTGGGATTACAGGCATGTGCCACCACTGCCGGCTAATTTTTGTAATTTTTTAGTAGAGACAGAGTTTCTCCATGTTGCTCAGGCTGGTCTCCAACTCCTGGCCTCAGGTGATCCGCCTGCCTGAGCCTCCCAAAGTGCTGGGATTGGGAGCCACCACGCCCGACCAACACCTTATTATTTACTAGCTGAGCTTTGGACTCAAACTCCAGTAAACTTAAGTGAGCTAGACTGCTGCTCCACGTGGAAGATTCCTTTTCTTAAGCAGGGTTGACTTCAGAGAGGCTCAAACCAAATAGGCTATGAGATCTGCATTGTTTTTTCCCCAGTGCCCCCACCAGTGGTGTACCGGAGCCAGTCCGTACCATGATGGGACAACATACATCACAGAAAGTGGGGCAGACTCTATAGTCAGAGCTTCCCCCCCCCCCCCCCCTTTCCCCCCCCCCCCCCCCCCCCCCCCACCACCACCACCACCACCACCACACTCCCATGCTCCTCTCACTCCCCTGGCTTGGAGAGCTGCTGTTTTACGAACTTAGCAGTGAGGGCAGGAAGAAGGCAGGAGGAATTTTCTCTTTCTTACATGGTAAAGGAAGATGAATTTTCACTTATTGGAGAACTTGAAATACACACACACACATGCAAATATCCAATACCTGGGTTCCATTCAGACCTACCGGGTTAAAGCAGTGATATGTCAGTTTTCTAGTGCTGCTGTAACAAATTACCACGAACTTAATGGCTTAAAACAAGAAAAACTTTTTCTTACACAGTTGTGAAGGTCAGAGTCTCAAGGTGTCAACAAGGCTGTGTTCCTCCTCCTGGAGGCTTCAAGGAAGAATCTGGGTTTTCTTTTCTTTTTTGTTCTTTTTTTTTTTTCCAGCATTTAGAGGCCACCTGCAGTCCTTGCCTCACAACCCATTCCTCACGTTACTCTACCGTCTTCCTTTTATCACCACATCTCCTACTATGGACGCTGAGCAGCCTGTCTCTCTCTTTTAAGAACCCTTCTGATTGCATTGGGCTCACCTGAATAACCTCCTCATCTCCAGGTCTTTAATGTGATTGTATCTGCAAAATCCCTTTACCAGGCAAGGTAAAATATTCACAGGTGTTGGAGATTAGGACATGGAGCCTTTCAGAACCTTTATTCAACCTACCACAGATGGTTTGTAAACGTGACTGAACACTACAGTCACCTGGCGAGCTTAAAAATTCTGATGCCCAGGCTGCATCCCAGAACAATTAAATCAGAATTTCTGGACTGGGACCTAGGCAGTCTTATACTGAAAACTCTTCAGGTGATTCCAATGTGCAGTCAAGGTTAAAAAACACTATGTTAGCAGTTTCAGGATGGGATCCAAGTGTGTTTATAAAAACTTTTCCAGATAAAGAGCACAGCTACCTTTGGCCTCCTGTCTTTTAAACTGCATGGACTTTTACATTTATATTCTGTTCATGCGTGTTCTTCTCAACCTAAAAAGACTGAGCTCCTCAAGTTCAGGGCCATATTTTTCTTTTCTTTGTTACCACAGGAAAATGTGTAATAAACATTTGTTTAATGCATGAATAAACACTTTTTAAAAAACATTCTTGGTCGGATGTGGTGGCTCATGCCTGTAATTCCAGCACTTTGGGAGGCCAAGGCGGGTGGATCACGAGGTCAAGAGATCGAGACCATCCTGGCCAACATGGTGAAACCCTGTCTACAAATACAAAACCCCACTACAAATACAAAAATTAGCTGGGCCTGGTGGTGTGCACCTGTAGTCCCAGCCACTCGGGAGGCTGAGACAGGAGAATCACTTGAACCCAGGAGGAGGAGGTTGCAGTGAGCCGAGATCACACCACTGCATTCCAGCCTAATGACAGAGCAAGACTCTATCTCAAACAAACAACAACAAAACGCTATTATTTACACAATTCATATCAACACTGTTCTCTACATGATAAAATATGTCTAATGCTCTTAGACCCTTACAGACTTGTTAGAGGCATCAAGAGTAGGCACAGAGAAGGACTGAGTGATTTCAGTGGGAGAGGAAAACTGCCTGATCCATCACCTTACTTCCCTGATAGTCCATTTCCTTTGTGAATTTCACCTTTCTATGGTGCTCCACTTCAGTCTCTGCCTTCGCCTGGTGAATCCTATAGGATACACAACATATTCCTTTCAGAGTAAGAGCGCTCCATATTCCCCAGCAATGTGGGTATTGTAAATTAAGAATATGGCCCACATCCAGAGAAAGTAGTACTAGGTAGTCTGTGTCAAGTTTTTTGTTTTTTGTTTTAATGTGGGCAACTACTTTAATTTGCATTTTGACCTTTTTCCATCTTTATTGAGGTATAATTGACAAAGTTGTCTATATAGATGTACAATGTGATGATTTGCTATACTTATATATTGTAACATTATTACCATAATCAAATTAGTTAACGCATCTATCACATCACATAGCTTACCTTTTTTCCTTTTTCTTTTTGGTATGGTGAAAACACTCAAGATCTAATCTCCTAGCAAATGTCAAGTATATAAAACTTGTGAACTATACTCACCGTGCTGTGCTTTAGAGACCCAGAATTTCTAAAACTGCTGGATTTTACCCTTTCACCAGCACATCCCGATTTCCAGCCCCAGCAACCACCATTCTATTCAACATTTCTATGAGCTTGACTTTTTAGATTCCACATGTAAGTGAGATCATGCAGTATCTGTCCTTCTGTGTGATTTATTTCACTTAGCAAAATGTCTCCCAGTTTCATTCATGTCATCACAAATGGCAGGGTTTCCTTCTTTTTGCAGCTGAACAATATTATCGTGTTTTTCTTCATGCATTTATCTATTGATGGTCACTTAGTTTGTTTCCATATCTTGGCTATTGTGAATAACGCTGTAGTGAACATAGGAGCATAGAAACCTCTTTGAGATACTTATGTTGCTTCCTACATGGTAGTTCTATTTTTAATTTTTTTAGTAACCTTCATACTGATTTCCATAATGGCTGCATAATTTACATTCCCACCAAACAGCAGCTACTTAATTTAATATGTATAGGAACTACCTAGACAGATGTATATTGTGATATGTTAAAGAGATATGATTCTACTTTGAGTGGGAGACACTGAGTCCATCAGTATGTAGAGAAGGCAAATAATTTTCAAGATGAGTTAATGAATCCCTGTTTTTCCCCCTGATTCACCCTCCTCTGGCTACAGTAGCCGCCTTCTTATCTGTGAATGTTCAGGCAAGGCCAAGCATTCTTCTGCCTGCAGGACTTTGAACCAGCTGGCTGTTTCTTCATCTTGATTTCTATTCCCCAAGATGTCTACTGAGTTAACTCCCTCACCAAATGCACGTCTTTCTCCATGAGGCCACGCCACCATGTTCCTCTTCCCGTTACCCTTCTCTACTTCTCTTTCCCTAAGGTACTAACCCCAATCTAGTAACACCTATGTAGGATTTTCACTTTTTATCTTGTTTTCTCCAGCTGCTAAAATGAATGTAAGTCCTGCAAGAGCAGTGATCTTTGTCCGTTTTGTTCACTGAAGTACCTCAAGCCCCCAGGACACTTTCTGGCACAGAGGTTGTACTCAAAAGATATTTTTTGAATAAATGAATGAGGAAAAAGAATTTCAATAGAAACTGGAGAAACTAAAGGAATGCAGGGAATGATGCTACAGTAAGAAACTATGGAACTAAGCAATGAGAGCATGATATGGAGAAAACAAGATACAAGGTGAGAGAGAAAACTTATATCCATGCCAGTGACAGAGGAGATATAAAGAAGCCAGCTATGAAGAAGGAGGTTGAGATGTCAATGCAGTTTTGATTAAAGTTAAAATGAAAAAATTATGGTCCAATGGAAGAGACATATTACTCCTGAGGAATCCCAAGAAAGGCTGAAGACAGTAATTTAACTTAGGAATTGGAGGTGGAAGTGTATAGGTACTAATCATTTATAAGCTAAAAGTTCAGGGCTTTCGAAAAAGGCTAGAGAAGACAAAAGGGCATTTAAGGAGAGTGCTGACAAGCCGGGCCTGGGAAGAATTGTGCTTAATATATTTATACCGAGCTGTCACCAAAAATGGTAATGGTGCGATTGAGTGCTTTAATTAAATCTGAGCTATGCTGACCATACAATGTGAAAGTATAACTATTATGCTACTTCAGAGGAATATGATTTGTGTCTGAAATTCCCCCACTTTCTGTCCATCTGTTGTGTCTGCTGGACTGCTCTGAACAATCAATGTTTGTGGCTAGATGAATGTGGAGGAGGCAATCTAGAAGGAATATCTCTAGGGATATTAGAAACAGGGGAATGTATAGATAGGGCAGGCCAGAATCAAGGATATGAGATAGCACTACTACACACACACACACACACACACACACACACACACACACACACACTCCTCTAATTGCTGTTTACCCAGTCAAGATCAGTAGAGACCATACTTTATACAATTCCTGTTTGCATTGTGGAACTTAGCGGAGTGATGAGTACTTGAAATTGGTAACATTGATATCTGGGGATGGCTAGTGATACAAGGAGTATTTTTGGCAAAGGTTTTAAGGAGAGTAGGACTTCAAAAGTAATTGCTATAGTTCCCCACCCCACCTTACCCTACACTGGGAAAGAACTACAGGCTGAGCTAGGACTATTAGGTAATAGCATCTTACTTAGACACTTGCTTACACATTGGCACTTTATGTCTTACCAAGGGAAGGAGTTTCTCTAAAAGCTGCTACCACTGTTGAGTCCTCAGCAAAAGTGAGCAGCAGTCATCTTTTTTTAAATTTTCTAGTCCAGACAAATCAGGACATTTCTGATAAGTCAAACACTTCCACAGGTCTCCAGACTCAGCGATTTGGGAGCAGTGAAGGTGAATGGCTTCAAGAATCAAGGTGAAGTGGCACGGGGTAAAGCTAAAGCTTCCCCCTTCATTTTATTCTTCAGAGGATTCCTTCTGAAATGGCTCTTTCAAATAAGCAAATGACTGCTAACACTATCATTAAAATTCTTTTGAAGTCAAAACACCCTCTTCTCCTTGTCCCTGAATCTCACTGATGAGCTTTGATCACTGGCATCATCCCAATCTTGTTTTGCTTTGATTGCTGACATAATGGATATGTTGTTATTTTCTGTAAACTCTACAAGTAGAGCTCAAATCACCTAATTAGCATTGAGGTTAATTAATAGGGAATAAATTGGCCTCATGAAAGAAGGACAGATATGTCTACAGTGTCATTATGCACTGAAGACTGGAAACTGAAAGGGGGAAAGACAGCATATGAGAAGACTGTGTTGCTGTTTTTATAGGATTAATAAGACCAAGCTGCATTTATGTGTATACTGAGAAATGGCACTTACTTACTCTGATGTATCTTATTGTGAAGAACATCCTGAAAACAGCCAAGATCCTCTTCATTAGTAAGACACTGTGGCAGGCTTTTCTCTTCTTCTAACTTATTTACTCTTTGGTGCTTTGGGAAATAAAACTTTGAAAGCTGGAAGACAGAACAAACATCATGCTCTCCCTGACCCACAGACATATACTAAAGTATAAAAGAGACCGACGTAGATAATATCAGCAGATTAGACCCCAAGCACATTAGCCCTTCTGATTGTGTACTGCACCAAAAAATTGCAAAAAAACAACTTTGTTTGCTTTGTTGAAATAAAAACACACAGAATTTATAAAGTCGTTTCATAACCATTGCCAAATGAATATTGCTTATTATACTTTTTAGCTCATTAAGTAAAAATGATAACAGGAAAATGACTCAATATTCTAGATGTCATATTGATCATTCTAAGCAAAAAAACATGGACCAGAATGCAAAAGGCCTGATTTGTACGGCCACTGTTTCCATTTCAACCTGAAAGGGAAGCAAAAATATAAATATTCTTGAATCCTCCACACAGCCTGGCTTCTGGTATGAACATTTTTAATGTAAACAGTGGGCAGTTTTACTACTACTTTTATTGACTTCTATCAGTGCTGACCATTGGTAAACACCTCGGGCAATACCTATACACACACACACACACACACACACACACACACGACAATGAAAGAAAATAAAAAGCCAAGAATAAAAGCTGTCCCCAAATATGAGATATTATAAATTCTGGGTGTGAAAGGTTCAGGAAAAAGGAAGCAGGAACTATAGCAAAGAAAGCATGTTGTGGGAACTTCAAAGAAATTGTTCCAGGTGATCGTGGACAATTTTATTCTCAGCAGACTCCAAAAGGTAGGATGACAATGTTAGCTAAGGGTCTGAGAATATCTAAGGGGAAGACTGGCCAGGAAGATGGCTTGAGGAACGATAAAGAAGCTGTGGGAAGACTCCAGTAGCCAAAAATAGATTTGACTTTTTTGTTTTGTCCAATTTCTAGGTAAAACTTTCTTTTGTGATGGGGGAAATGCATTTATTTCCAGGCTGAATGCTTGACCAAAATACAACTCACCTGTGGGCTGCCAACAATCTATGCATCTTTAGCAAACCCAGGTCTTGATAGCCTAGTGTGCTGGGGACAGCTGGCTGCCTAATTCCTCATCATGATGCTTGGAATAGTAAAACTATTGCCCTTATGAAAAAACAGTTTAGGGAAGGCAGTAAATGATATCTGCTTGTTGTTAACAACCTGCTTAGTTTGAGTTGCTCTCAAGGGCAGTTTTTGAGGCTTCCTACCAGCTCTGATGGCAACTATAAAGATATTTCCTAGTATATTTCATTTTCTCTACATTTTTTTTCCTTGGGATATTCCTTCAGTTCAGGGAATTTATCAAGGCCCATTACCTGCTATTTACATTGGCTTGTTATTTAAACCTCTTTGGACCTTGAAAATGTGAGACCTTAAGAAGAAATGAATCACAGATTTTTAGGGTTGGAAAGAGACCGGGAAGGTCAATATTTATCATTTTTATTTACTCTAAGGCTCTTAAGACACTTTAAAAGATCATTGCTCCTGAGCTGGAGAATGAAATGGACTAAAAATAAAGAATCTAGCAACTCTGAAAACTGAATTTGTTCTAATGCCTGTATTGCTTACTCTAGGTTCCTATTGGTTAGATTTTAACAGAATCTGATCATCTGGGATTATAAGAAGTAATAGCTTTCATGGGGTCAGTGGGCCTTTCAGGGGCAAATATGGAGCCAAAAATCTGCCATTTGAGGGGGTGCTCCCCAGAAAGCAGTAACAGGGCTCTACAATGTGATGGGAAAACGATGTCTGCTGCTAGCTTTTTGATGCTGAAACAGGGAGACCCTGTATCTGTGACCAGCACCATGACAGGTAGCTGGTTTTACCTACACACTTAAAATGGACATGAAAATGTCTTAAAGATATTGGGAGGCAGTTTATTATCACTTAAAAAATGCATTTTTTACATTTCAGCAGCAAAAAAGAATGCTGGCATATACTCATGCCATGCCAGGAAGTGATTACTGAAATTTAGCATGTGATAGTTTTAGAAGGCTGAGAAGAAGCAAAGCTGGGTTTACTAGGCCATTCAAAGATTTTTCTCAGAAACTGTATTACATTGTAGATTGCTCAAGAAAGGTCTCCAGAGTCTTTCCAGTCTAAGGATCTCCCACAGCTGGGAGGCAAGATAGTCTGTGAGTAAGGACTTCTGCACATGTGCATGCACTATCAACTGAATGGAACAAGAGTTTATTTGGACCTTCTATGTGGCAAACATTGTGCTAGATGCTGGAGATGGAATGGCAACGTAGATTCCGTCCATGCCTAGAGGCAGAAAATCAAAGTGCAGATGGATATTCTGCTGAGTGTGATTTGTGTTTTCTTTTCTCTGCTCTAGTTAAAAAAGTTCTGAAATACGATTTTTGTTACCATTGGGAGGGTAAGTCTTTCCGTTGTTGTCTTTAAATGTTTTAAATAATTTTTATTTTTTAGAGAAGTTTTAGGTTTACAGCAAAATTTAGAGAAAGGTACAGTTCTTTCCCATATACACTCTGCTGCGCACATGCACAGCTTCCTCCATTATCAGCCTCCCCATCCAGAGTGGTACATTTGTTAACAACTGATGAACCTACATTGACACATTATAACCCAAAGTCCATAGTTTACATTAGTGTTCATTCTTGGTGTTGCACATTCTCTGAGTTGGGACAAATATACAATGACTTGTATCCGTGATTACACTGTCATATAAAGTAATTTCACTGACTTAAACGTCTATGCTCTACCTATTCCTCCCTCTCCCCTACCTTCCACCCCCAATCCCTGGCAACCCCTAATCTTTTTACGATAGCCATACTTTTTCCTTTTCCAGAATGTCATATGGTTAGAGTCATACAGCATGTAGTCTTTTCAGATTTTTTTTCAACTAGTGATAAGGATTTGAGCTTCTTCCATATCTTTTCATGAATTGACAACTCATTTTTTTATTGCTAAAAAGCATTCCATTACCTGGAGGTACGACAATTAATCTGCTTACCTACTGAAGGATATCTTGGTTGCTTCCAAGGTTTAGCAATTACAAAAAAAAAAAAAAAAAAAGCCTGCTATAAACATCTGTGTGCAGATTTTTTGTGAGGACATAAGTTTTCAACTCTTTTCATTAAATAGCAAGGAGCACCATTGCTCGATCATATGGTAGGAGTATTTTTAGTTTTTTAAGATCTCCAAATTGTCTTTCAAAGTGGCCATAGCATTTTGCATTCCCACCAGCATGAATGAGATTACTGTTGTTCCACACCCTCGTCAGCATTTGGTGTTCAGTGTTTGGTTTTGACCACTATAATGAGTGTGCAAAGGTATCTCACTGTTGTTTTCATTTGTATTTCCCTGATGATCTGTAATGAGGAGCATCTTTTCATATGTTTACCATATGCAAATCTTCTTTGGTGAGGTGTCTGTCACATTCTTTGAACCATTTCATAAACTGGGTTAAGTTCTTACTGCAGAGTTTTAAGAATTCTTCGTATATTTTGGATGACAGTCCTTTATCAGATACGTTTTTTGCAAATATTTTCTCCCAGTCTGCAGCTCATCTTCTCAATCTGTTTATTTTGTCTTTTGCAGGGCAGAAGTTTCTAATTTTATTGACGTCCAATTTACCAATTATTTCTTTCATGGATTTTGTCTTTGGTACTGTATCTAATATGAATATGACATTGAAATAACCAAGTTCATCCAGTTTTTCTCCTATGCTATTCCTTAGCAGTTTTATATTTTACATTTCAGTCTGTAACCTATTTGAGTTCATTTTTGTGACAAGTATAAGGTCTATGTTCAGATTCACTTTTTCAGATGTCGATATCCAATTATTCATTCACAATATTTTAAATTGCAAATTGACAATTTATAATTGCATATATTTATGGAGTACAAAGAGATGTTACAAATCTATTATAAAATGTGGAATAACTAAATTAAGCTAATTAACCTATGTATGATCTCAAATATGTATTATTCATTGTGTCAAGAAAATTTGAAATTAACTCTCAGCATTTTGAAAAAGTACAACACACTAATATTAACTATATTCACAATCTGTAAATCTTCTTTGGTTAGGTGTCTGTCAGGTCTTTGAACCATTTCATAAATTGGGTTGTTTGAGTTCTTACCATGGAGTTTTAAGTGTTCTTTGTATATTTGAATAAGAGTACTTTATCAGATATATCTTTTGCAAATATTTTCTCCCAGTCTGCAGCTGGGAGAAATCCTCAAAAACAAAAACCCTTATTCCTCATGTGTGAGATTTTGTATGCTTTGACTATCATCTCCCCATTTCCCCCAACACCATCCTCTATAGATACCATTCCCCTCTCTGCTTCCATGAATTCAAACATTTTGGATTTCACATGTAAGTGACAACAGTGCAATATAGTCTTTCTGGGCCTGGCTTATTTCACTTAGGATCATATTCTCCTATTTCATAAATGTTGTCACAAATGACAATTTCCTTCTTTTTAAAAGTTGAATAGAATTTCACTGTGTGTATGTACCATACATTCTTTATTCACTCATCTATTGATGGACACTTATGTAGATTCCAAAATTTGGCTATTGTGAATAGTGCTGCAAAAACATGAGAATGTGGACATCTCTTTGACAAAGTAATTTCAAATATTTTGAGTAAATACTCAGAAGTGGAATTTCTGGATCATATGGAAGTTTTATTTTTATCCTTTTGAGGAAATTTCATAACGTTTTCCATAATGGTGCCATATTACTCTGTTCTCACATTGGTAAAAAGATATACCTGAAGCTGAGTAATTTATAAAGAAAAGAGGTTCAATTGGCTTACAGTTCCACAGGTTGTACAGGAAGCATAGATGAGGAGGCCTCAGGAAACTCTCAATCATGGCAAAGGGCAAAGGGGAAGCAGGCACATCCTCACATGGCAGCATGAGAGAGAGCGAGAGCAAAGAGGTAAGTGCTACGCACTTTTAAACAAACAGATTTTGTGAGAACTCATTATTACAAGAACAGCAAAGGAGAAATCCATCCCCATGAGCCAATAACCTCCTACTAG